TGGAGCGCAGTGGCTGCTCCTGGCCACTGCAGCCTCGACCTGCTGGGCTCTGGTGATCCTTCCACCTCAGTCTTCCAAGTAGCTGGAACTACAGGCGTGCGCTACCATGCCCTGCTAATTTTTTGATTTACTGTGGAGATGAGGTCTTGCCAAGTTGCCCAGGCAGGTCTCGAACCCGCGGTCTCAGGCAAGCCACTCACCTCAGCCTCCCAAGGCATGGGATTACAGGCTGAGCCACCGAGCCCAGCTTAAAATGTCTTTTACTGATACATTTAGTTTCTGTTGTCAGGAGTTAAATTTTCTGATTATCTTATCATGTTCTACTGAAGCAAATGAATTCCTTTTCTGTTGCTTCATTTCAGTTTTCTTGAAATTTTTTCTACTCCTGTGACTTAATATATGATTTTGTAAATGTATAAAATATATGATTTGGGAAAATGCAATAGATAGCAAGTATGCATGTGACAGGGGAACTATTTTGGATATTTTTTGTTTTGTTTTTGTTTTTTCAATTGGAGTCTCACTCAGTTGCCTAGGCTGGAGTGCAGTGGCTCACCACAGCCTATAAAACTCCTGGGCTCAAGCAATTCTCCCACCTCAACCTCCTAAGTTGCTGGGGCTACAGATGCACACCACCATGCCCGGCTAGTTTTTTGATATTTTGTAGAGGTGAAGTCTTACTGTGTCGCCCAGGCTAGACTCAAACTCCTGGGATCAAGCAATCCTCCCGCCTCAGCCGCCCAAAATGCTGGGATTATAGGTGTGAGCCCCTACAACCAGCCCAAGGGAATCTATTTTGAACTTTCTTCTTAGTCAACTATGCTTGAGACCTGTAATTGTAAAATGGCAAAGTCTCTCATAACTGACCCCTACTTAACCAACCAGGTGGATAAGCCAATGCTATTCATTTCCTTGGTAAAACATAATGACTGATGTTCTCAGTTTGCTGACTATTTGTGGCTTGGAAGCTTCTTGGTATGATGTTTGTACACTTTTGCCCTCGCGAGTCAATTTATTTACTTTCTCCGAGCCAGTTGTGTTTGTTCTCAAACTTATGTTGGGTATATTTGTTTTATTAAATAGCCTATAAAATGATGAGCTCTTAGTGTAAAAGGGAGAGTTACTTTTATAAAAACTAAATTGGGCCAGGCTCAGTGGCTCAGCCTGTAATCCCGTGCTTTGGGAGGCCGAGGTGAGTGAATTGCCTGAGCCTGCGGGTTCGAGACCCGCCTGGGCAACTTGGTGAAACCTCATCTCTACAATAAATGAAAAAATCAGCCGGGCGTGATAGCACGTGCCTGTAATTCCGACTACTCGGAAGGCTGAGGTGGAAGGATCACCGGAGCCCAGCAGGTTGAGGCTGCAGTGACTGGGAGCGGCCACTGCACTCCAGTCTGGGCAACAGAGTGAGACTCTGACTCAAAAAACAAACAAACAAAAACGAAATTGAATACTCTGGAAAAAAAGTGAATAAAATGAGAACTTGGCTATCTGCTAGTGGTGAATAAGACAAATGTATAATATTGGAAGAACTTATAAAATGTAAGGAAATTTGCTCTCCCGAGGTGGTTTCATATGTATTGAAATTTGTGCTGCACTTTCCAAGAATTATAATTGCAATCATACATGCATGATACAACATGGGTGTGGTGCACGCAAAAAAGACTATGGAATTGTAGTCTGCGGCTTAATCTCAAAGACAAGGCATTGGCCCTATACAGAGAGGACTGGTGAATGAATTACATTTATACATGGTTTAACTTAAAGTAAAATGGCTACAGTGATTCTTTCCTTTAACCACTCTGAGTAACCAACTAACAAATTGTACCAATTATTTAAGGTGAGAAAGGATTTCTTGTTTATTTTGTTATTAACATTACCACCTACTACTAACATTTATATAGTGCATTATTATTTATTCATTCCCTCTCATGTTATTTATTCATTATTTATTCATTACTTCACATATGATTCTTTCAACGTACATGTGAGGTATACATATTTGTTACTATTTTTCTCGAAACCGTAGCAGGTCCTATTTGAAAGATTTCACATAGCTTCACTTCATCTTTAGATTTAAAAAAATAGACCGAGCACGGTGGCTCAAGCCTGTAATCCCAGCACTTTGGGAGGCCGAGGCGAGAGGACTGCCTGAGCCTGCATGTTCAAGACCAGCCTGGGCAACATGGTGAGACCTCGTCTCTAAAAAAATTAAAAAATTAGCCGGTGTGGTAGCATGCACCTGTAGTTCCGGCTACTTGAAAGCCTGAGGCAGAAGGATTGCCAGAGCCCAGCAGGTCGGCGCTGGGGTGGCTATGAGTGTGCCACTGCAGTCCAGCCTGGGCGACAGGGTGAGACTCCAACTCAAAATAAAAATAAAAATAAGCAGTTTTATCGGAGATTCCTTGTATTAAGTATGTTACATCTTTTTTTATTCAAATTTTTTTTAACCTTGCTGAGAGCACAGATTTTTACGAAGCTGAGCATATGGTATATAGAAATACAATGGATCTTTGGCATTTAAGGATTTTAACATTCAAAGTTTCAACTATGTAAATGCAACCCCAAAGGGCTAAGACACAGTATTTTGCAATTTTGCTGAAGTGTAAATTTGAATTTAGCCATGACACTAATGAGCCTGAGGTAGTTACTGAGATAGTAGGTGAATTTAGCATACTGGCTGGAACTTAGTACTGTTGCACTCTTAATTACTTGTAGTCATGTGTTAAAAAAAACTCTTAAAGTGATAAAAATGTTGTGTTTGTAGAAGTGTCTAAAAATTGGCTCTTAATGAAAGCATCTACTAGTTGCTGGAAATGAGACTTCATAGGCAGAAAATAGAAGCTTCTGACTAAATGAATTTTTAAAATTCTGTATCTACTTGATATAGAAACAAGAAAGGCGACCTCATGCAACTTCCGGAAATCACTGCAACCTGTACAAAATGTTCAATGAGTCAGAAGATATACTTTAAAGATATTTAAAAATTTGGTTTACTTGTGATATGAGGTGACATGTGACTATTGGCAGAAATGTGATTCTGGAGAAAGAATCTTGTTCAAACATTTTCATGAAGAAACAGATGGTAAATGCACTGAATTGACCTTTATTAAAAGGAATGTGGTTTTTTTTTCCTTGTTAAAATTTTTTAAAAATGTTTTTCTGGGCATAATATGAATGTAATAGAAGAGGTGATATCAGCAGTCCATGTCATCCGTTATAAGCTGAAGAAATATATGGAGAAGAGTTATGCGTTAGAACATGTTTTTAACTGAGATGCAAATCATCTCTTTGGGCAGATAATATTTTCATGAACAAATCTTGTTCCAAGAGTAGGACGGACCAGGATTTAATGTTGATAGGCTAACTTTGCATTTCTTTGGTTATGCCTTTAACATATTGAATGCCTGTGTACCAGGTACTGTGCTAGGCAGTCAAGATAAAATGGTGGACAAGATGGATGTAATCCTTGCTGTCATGGAATTTATATTTTAGTACAGGCAAGAGCAAAAAACAAATGGGGAAATACTCAAAATCACAAAACAGACGAATTAATAAATACAGTCTGTATTGAGTGGCACAAAAGGCTAGAGAGAGAACAGTAGGGAGGCTCTTGATTTTGCGGCAACATAGTGAGTTTTGCGATTGGCAGGGTGATGGAGGGGCCAGAATATAATAGTCTCTAGCCCATATCCTGGCACTCCAGTACTGAACTGGAACCTTCATGAAGGATGGATCCTCTCAGCCCTCTTGGGGGTACGATAATGGAGGGATGATGTATGTGCAAGTTGCATAGAATAAAGGCACTCCAACATTCCTCTTTCCTTAGCCTTGGGGTCCCTGCCTCTGTGTTTAATCAGGAAAGTTATGGCTTCCCAGTCTCAATCAGTGTAGGCTATCATGGAGGCCATTCATGTCAACTGTTCAAGACCCCTCCAGCTGTGTGAGCTAATGTTTAATTCCCAAATCTCTGGTACATAAATCATATAAAAATTTTGGCCTATTTTTTATGGTATTCTGTTTTCTTTGGTCTATATTATATTCTGTTTATGTTATAATCTGTTTTCATTGGTCTAACAATCTTAGACTCTATATGTATCTCCCGATTTCTACCAATACAATTTAGCAAACTTTGTATATAAGTTATGGTTTGGTCTATGGATCGGACTTTATACTTGTTCCCCCAGAGAATGCTGTGCTCTAACCCTGTTATGAATAGCAATAAGGATAGTTGAGTTGGGTCTTGAGGAGAGGAGGAATTCCCTTGCCAGAAAACTGCCCTTACTGTTACGGCGAGGTTATTACAGGATCTTCAAGATAGGGAACACTCATCTCCTCAGACCAAGAAGAAGAACAGGTTATATCTGTTTCCACTGGCGAGGGAGGCTCAGAGGAGCTCGAGGATTCAAGATTCTCGGCCCAAATGAGTCTGCCCCGCTATGTCCCTCCCACGTCTCCGGGTCTCAGGTGGTCTCATTCAGCGCTCTCGCTTTTCTGTGTCATGGAATTCATATTCCTACGTGGTGAGTCTGTGGAATTCAGTGTCCATTATAATTCTGCAACTAGCATGTTTAAACCTGGAGTGAGGAAGGTGAGCCCCAAGGCTGAGAGGCAACATTTTTCTGAGGCGGAAGGATCGCGGAGCCCAGCGGGGCGAGGCCCGGTGGCCGCGAGCGGCCGCTGCACTCCGGCCTGGGCGACGGAGTGAGACTCCAACTCAAAAAAAGAAAAAAAGATGCAACATTTTTGGTTAAGGCTGCCGTAGAGGTTGAT